AAAGGAGAAATTCTATTCAACTTCTTGGATAACTCCTATTTTTTTCATAGGAATCAGTTGTTGTATCTTTTCATTTAATGTATCGCTTTTGTTAATAAATCTAAAAAATAAGAATTATTACCTAAACATGATAAGATGATCAATGATTCCCTTCCTCTTTTAAGAATAATTGAGCATACTGCGTGTTACTGCTGATACTGCTAAAGTGATACTGCTGGAAATGTCTTTTTCATTTTCTTCCATTTTTTTTTTTGTTCCGGAACAGATTTGTAAATATCAACTTGTTCCGGTTGAAGATATTTTTGAAGAACTTTTTTTGTGTAGTATAGATACTATAACTTTATGTAATTGTACATAAATAAGTAGTTTGATTATAATTGTATATCTTTTACGATTCTTATTTGTCAGAGAATTAAAAAAAGTAACGGATAAAAGAAAGAGAAGGAAAACAAATAATAGATGTGATAATTATCTAATATGATCAATGATCAGTTCCTTTCATCTAAAAATTATTACCTAAAAATGATAAGATGATCAATGATCAATTCATGATTCATGATCAATTCATGATCAACCTAGAATAATCAATGATTAATTCTTCTTATCTAAAAATCATTATCTAAAAATGATAAGATGAATTGATTAATTGATATTGTACAACATCTGGTAGTTATCAAATAAATTGAGAGTTCTTTAAAGGCAATAATGTTAGATGAAATGATCGCGATAAGATGAATTAGAAAAAGAAAGATGCTGAAATTTGATAATGATGTATCAATAGTCGACATCAGTGGTTTTTCTTCTATCTGATCATTATCATTATGCTGGTATTTGTTCAGATATAATTTTTCTCTTTCTCTTTTCTCTGCACAATTTATTCATTTGTTTCTATTTAACAATAATGTTAATTCTATTTGTTATCATTTCAAAAATAAGCGGTGAATGAATAAACAGTAAAACTAATCCTCAAATTTTAACAAAAAATTTTTTTTCTGTTCAAAATTTCAGCAAATTGATGATGTTATTTTTATTGAAGATAATAATGAAAAAATTGGATTAAATGGATTTGTAAATGAATTTGAAGAATGAATTATTGGAAAAATGAAGTGAATTATTATCAATATTGTTATTATTATAAATTAGTTAGTATTGCTTTTATTTTATAACTCCTTTTCTCTTTTTCTTTTAAAAATATTTGAAGATAATTTTTAAAGCTTTGAAATTATTACCAACTTTAGAAAAAAATTGTGAAAAAAGAAGTTTGTCAATGAATTTTTAAAAACAATTTTTACAAATGTCTTATGAAAATTATTGCATGCTCTGCAAATGACAATATTCAATGAGGAAATTTAAAAAAAAAAAAAATTTGCGGAACAAAAACAAGAAAACACATCAACAAACCAAATAAACAATATCACGATATATCATTCATCGAAGTCATTCATTTTTTTGTAAACTACTGATGAAAGAGATTAAAATGCAAAGCATAAATCAAATAAAATCCACCAATCTTTGCTACAGTTAAATGGAGCACGAATTTTAGTTTTTTTAAATTAGTTGAATTCTAAATTTTGCCCATTATTTATTCAAGTCAATAAAAGAGAAATAATGTTGTAAAAAATTGAAAGAGCGATAAATGACATTACAAATAATTAAGTAGCAAAGTGAGTAAATAATAAAAAAAAATGATAAATCAGGTAAAATCAATTTAAAGTTATTTACTTAAAAGAATTTTGTTAAAAGAAACAAGTTCTGCAATTTCGTAACAAATTTTAGTGTATGAAATTACTAAGTTCAAACTTTTTTTCTTATTTGAACTAAATCATCATGCATTAACATCTTTAACGATGACATTTCACAACTGTCAATTATTTTATTTAAATTTATTCTCAAACTGTCAATGATAAGATAATTTCGACTTCACTTCCTTGCAATCTTCATAAATATTCCCTTGAATACATTGTTAATATCATCTAACTACTATGAATTTTATACTATGATAAGATATAATCGAAATTTTGCTATATGCATTCTAATGAAAGCAAAAATAATCAAAAAGCTAATATTTATTTTAATTTTTAATTTTAATCAATCATATTGGTCATTTTCAATTGCCCGATGAATATGTTTCCCATTTCAAGCAATGTAATTATAGATGTTCAATAAATGTAAAATATTATAGAGAGTAATAAAATAAAGTTTGAAAAATAAACATATAATAATCTGCAATTAATTTACTACACAATACACAGTGGATTATTTATTTAAAAAAAAATTCATCCGAAACAAACAATATCAAGCGTTCATCGAGTACCCAACCAATAAGGAGTACAGTGTAGTGAGGCCCAAAAAGGATATGTACAGCGTAGCTCATTGATCTAGAAGTCATCCCACATCCATATTACAGTCAGGCTCAACAATAAATCTTATAATCAGTATTTTTCTATCATAAGATTACTTACTTCAAGTCCCATCCAATTTAGAAACAGATTATTTTAATTTTATTAATCAAGAAATCTTCGTCACTGTAATTGTCATATTGTATTTTTTATAGAAGATTCCATCCCCCTTCTTCCCATGACATTGTCTAACCATGGGATTATCGTCTAAATGCTCTACTCATTCATGTACCGGCTAATGTTGAGTATATATACTTACATTGGACAATATATAAAAACACAGAACAACTTGGACTCATCAACCAAGACGTGTGTCCCTTTTCTCAGATAGAGCAACTCCGGTAAGATTTTCCAAATCAATAATCCTCGAATATTTTTTATTTCTATTTGGTTATTCGGTGTTTAATAATAAACTAATATCTATATAATTGAGTACTCAATCTCAAATTCGATTCAAAGCACATAAGTGTTTCCTTTTTCGCTATATTTTTATACTCGATTCCTACGGTTAAAGTTGTATCCGATGAGAAGTTCCTCGATTTCTACGGTTAAAGTTGTATCCGATGAGAAGTAACAGAAAATAACATCGAATGCTACCGATTTCGACGAATTCTATTTGGCGTAATATCATTCATCTCTTTTTCTATTATCAACTACTGTTAACTATCATTTGGAAAACTACAAATGCGAACTTATCCTCGAAATCAGAAAGAATTTTTACGTGGATAACATGATAATACCGACTGTGGAAGCTAATGAAGCATTTTTAAAAATATGAAAAATGAAAGCTATTTGTGGCTTCACAATATGATCCACTAGAATTCTTAACAGCAAGCACGATACCAGTTAAATTATTCTTTCAAAATCTTTGGGAGGAAAACAATGGAATGAATATTGAAATTTATAACTTCAATATCCAACGGAAGATTGCCTGGCCTACGAATCACGAATTACTACGGAGAAAGATTAAATTGCATACGACAGTAATCAATTAATCATGATAATGTTAATCAAACGGGCTCATTCAGGACGAATATGGATAGAAGAAAGAAAGTGGAAATTATTTGATGAAGGTCGTTTATGGAAATTTAGAACTCGATTGGAAAATTCGAAATTTGAGAAATCGTATAAAAGAAATCCTCCTCTTACATCAACAAAAAAAAAAAGAATGATCAGATTGATCGACTAAATATAATCTTAAGAATTCTTAAATTGTTGTAAACGTAAACGTTTTTTTTTTGTTTTTTTTGTGGAATTTTTGCATGTATTATAATGTCAAGAAGAATAAAACCTATTCATCAAATAAATAAGTCTTTATTACAACTCAACTATGCCTTAAACCAAAGCTCTTCCTTAAAAGAATTCCACAAAACAAAAACGTTTACAACAATTGAACTTATATAGTATTAAAGAAAAAGATGCATAAAGATAAACCCAATATAAAATTCACGTTGTAATATAAAATTATTCACATGAACAGAAATTTTTTTTATAACTGATAGGCTAAAGAGTGGACACTGTCCACAATCTTTCATCAGTGCTAAATTTAATTTCTTGTCATACAATATGTCAATGTTAAATTTAATTTCTTGTCATTTTTTGTCATACGGTATTTTTTATTTCACGTTGCTCGAATATCATTCACAATTTATTGCATATCAAATTCCCGCCATCACATGTTCTCTGTCTTTCTTTTTATCTATGGCAACAAGTGTAGCTAACTCTTCTTTTTTCCACATTGTTTCCTTCTTTCTCTTCATCATATCGCACTGCCTAACTATGTGACTAACTCTCGTATATCTGTAGCATGATCTTTTACGACATGGTTTTTATTGATTTATTAAATATCTAAATTATTATTCTTGCACTGTACAGTATTAGATATATGTATATATAGTATTATTTAGCCGCACACTATATAGTTATCGAGATTGGACTGTCCCCAAGTAAAACGTGCGCTTCTTGCTCAAAATAAAACGACTCGATTAGATATCATCGCTACCAATCTCAATCTTCCGGAATCGGATTATTCATATTTGGGCACCGTTAATTGTTAATATCTCCGATCTTCTTCTCTGAATAAATCTTTTCAAACATAATTATTGTGAAATATTTCACGACAAAGATATTGTTTACCTTAAATTACTTTAAAGGAATAATTAAAACGATGGAAATGGAATAATTTATCCTAACAGGGATAAATCTCTTTCAGAAGTTCTGATGAGAAAAAATATGCACTTGGATCGAGAATATTTTCCATCTACATGAAGCATAATGGTTTAATTTCTTAACAATATTAACCAATTGATATAAGTCAATTTTGGTTTTAGAAAAAAAATGCTAAGAGAAAAAGCCATTTGAAAGTAAAAAGCAAGAGATATACTTTCATATGTCCAGTATTTATTATGGATGAAATGATTCATAAAACTTTTAATGACCTATGATCAGTTCTTTGGACTCTCGCCATCTCTATTCACTTCCATGAGCTTCGTCATAATGTTCGATTCAAACTTCTATAGATATAAAAAGTGATTTAGCCTAGGCCTCATGTATTGTCAGTGGCAGTCATTTTTTTTCGTAGTTATTTGTTTCTCCCAGTCTTTTCTTTGGTAACTAAGCTAGGGGAAACAAATAACTACGAGAAAATTAAAGATATTTTCCGATAAGTGATTAATTAAGAAAAAATCTTAGATTAGGAAAATCTCCAAATTTATAGCAAAACATTTTCGTTTCTATTAGAAGTCAATAATTTTTGTTTATATTACTAAAATTATAATTTTTAAAATAAGCGACAAAAGGGAAAAGAGTATGAATTGCAGAAAATGAGAAAATCATTTCATATTTACAAAATAATATCGTACGAAGTGGTAGAATCTATTACTATGCCAATTAATTATTCTTTTATTCCATGAATGCTCGAAATTTTTTGAATTTGTCAGAAATCCCAATAAATTTTGTAATTTGTTCACTAATGTTACATGATTTTTAGTTTTTCCCTTTACCGCTTTTTCTTTTAAAAAAAAAATCTAAATTTAGTAATTTAAACAAAAGTTGTTGACTGCTGTTAGAAACGAAAATGTTTTGCTATAAATTTTGAGATTTTTCTAACTTCGAGACTTTTTCCCTACAGTTAGTCACAGTCGGAAGATATCTTCAATTTTTTCATATTTACACACTTCTCTTTCTCGATCTAGCTACGAAGGACAAGAAATGACTGTCAGCAACAGCATATATTGAAGCCTAGGCTAAAATTACTCTTTATATCTATGGAAGTTTAGATCAAACATCGTGACATTTAGATAGAAGTGAATTTCTTTCCAATACAATAGCTTACAAAGACAATTTATGATTGCTCAATCAGCATTTATTTGACTTTATTTACTTCTATCCAGAATTTTCAAATAGTGTGAAATAAAGTTGATATATTCAAATCAAAAATACAGCTTTCTTTTTTTAAGGATACAGAAAGTTGAACTATACAAATTCTGAAACAATAATTGCGTGTTAAAAATTTTATCGCACTCTTATAATACTATTACTGTTAAGCAATAGTGTGTGAAAAGTTATTGAAAAGATGAAATTTTAAACTGAGAATATTTTTAAAGCTTTTGCTTTGAAAAGTTGAAAGGATGTTACCAAAATAAATTCATTTTCTTATGACGGGAAAATTTCACCAGGTATATAAAAAGCAGTAACGAAGTATTATTCAATACCAATTCAATACCATATCTTTAAAGTTTGGGACAAAAAAAAAACTCAATGAGCTGCTATTCATTCTTACGTAATTCAACTTCATATAATAATTTTCATGTAATCAATGTCATACAATAATTACAAATCTTCCAACTGAATAGATTTTTCGATCAAAAATATGTCTTGTGATCGAAATTGACCGTGCGATCAAAATATGCTTTCTGGTTAAAATAGGTCTTGAGATCTTTATGAGTGCAAATTAGCAATGGCAGTTTCGGGAATACGCTTTATGATCGGAATATATCTTTTGATTTTCACAAACGCAGTTTAATAATTGAAAAGCGCAATGTATGCAATCGAATGATACTAGAAAAAATTAAATTTATTAAAATAATACCATATTAATCGTAGTAGAAAAATCAGTTCAAGTAACTGCAAAACATTTGTTCTGGAATTATTGAATCTTAACAAAAGAAGTTCTCATTTGGAAACATTTTAAGCTTTGTACTTGAAATGACAGTTCTTGCGCACGTCAATAAAAGCACAGATAGTTCTCGAGGTGTGTACGTAAAGAGGACAGTTCTCGAGTTGTGTGAGTGAAAAAGATAGTTCTCGAGTTATGTGCGTGAAGAAAAGGGTAATTCTCGAGTTATGTACGCGAACAGCAGGACAATTCTCACTACAACATTTGAACATTTCATCTGCCTGATATCAATTATACCGTTCTTAAACGATTGTTTGCAAAGGATAGCAGCGGAAATCTCTTAACTTCAATTTGACAGATTTGTGGTACCGAGTTTGGGGCTGTGAAGTTTATTTTCGTGGTATGTTCGTTTATGGACACTTAATTTGTATTCTATCAAGTATTTCAGTTTAAAAATCAGGTATTTCAAGCTCGATACGTCCAAACTTATACTGTATCAGATCGTCTATCCATCTATAAGATTGAGTATTTTGAACTCGATGATCAAATATTTTGGATAATATGAAAAATTAGATAGATTCAAAGTTAATGATTTCATCAATTCAAGTAAAGCTTTCAGATGAATGAAATGGCTACGGATAAGATTATATGCTGTAATTGCGAAATTCCATTAGTGCCACCGACATGTATATATATTCAATGCGATAACTGTCAAAAGAAAGGATGCGATGTAAAACTATGCGTTTCTGTATGTGTTGTAATTTTTTTCATTATTCAAATCAGAATTGATCATTAAAATGAAAAATTGAAGAATGTTTTTATATTGAAATAGGAACAGATAAATTATCCATATGGTCAGGTTGTTAGCTAATTAGGCTTATTAGATTTATTCATAGCATTTTAATTTATTTAATTTATTCGTTTATTCATTGCTTTAACTTATTCATTTATTCATTTTTAATTTATTCATTGCTAAGCATTTTAAAAAAGTTTGCTTTATATTAATTAAATTTATTACAATTGCTACTAAATACAAGGTAAGATTGAGAAGTCTCAGCTGTGATAGGGTGTAAAGGTGGTGAATATCTGTTCTATTCAAATCGAGTATTTCATTAGTAACTGATATGGTGCGATAGTTAATATGAAAAATTATTTTGTCGCAAAAATCTGTATATTTGATCAGAAGATATAAAATAAATGATATTTTAAGCGATAAAATTGATGCATTACTGTACAAGTGATTTCATATATCAGGAAATATAAGAATGAAAACCATTTCTCGTATTACATTTTCTTTTTCTTTTTAAATAATTGTGATGATAATAATCGTAATATAGTTTGTAGTGTTTCCGAATGGGTGCTGAATGTGGTCCTCACAAACGTGGACATGCTTACACTGTTATAGATTGTAAAGGACCTTCATTATTTCCGACAACATCTGATAAGCATTGGGGTTGGAAAGAAGATCTGAACCTAATCAAAGCAGTACATAAACATAAATTAGGCAATTGGTATGTTTTATGTGAAATACTAGAAAAATTCTATGTAATCGGTTTTGATAGTGCGTAGTCATAAACATATATAACTTCATTCTGGTCCCAAGTTTCATCCGCCTTTCTCTTTTCTGTCATCCTTTACTTTATATCGTAACTGCCCACGAAATATATCTGTTTTGCGTAGCGTAATAAGAAGATGGTTAGATGCTGATTCGCACTAATCTTTTAGTGTTGATCATATCTGTGTTAAATTTTAGAAAATTGCTCCGTAGAAATTTTAAATGGATTTCCACCAGTAAATAGATTTATACTGTTTTTATTTGTTAACCTTTATCGTTCAGGGAGGAAATTGCATCAGAATTGGGTACCGATAAAACTGCCGATGATGCTAGGAAACGTTTTGATCATTTTTTTATACGTGGTCCCTTTGGTCGATATGCAGCAGATGTTAGTTCAGGGTAACTTTGTCCTAATGTTCGCTTCATAATTAGGCTACTTTTGCACTCAAATTGCAATTTTAAAACTTCGTTCTTGTGTTTTTCCCCGGTGATAAAATTGAATATTAGATTTTTAGCGAAACTGTTTTCTTTTGCGATGTCATCTTATTTTTGAGTTGCTATCAACTTTAGAAAAATGACCATAAGAATCAAACTTGTTATCTCCGCTTTATTTTAGATTTTGTTTCTTTACATATTGTTTTTTTATGAGTATTACTTAACATTTTAATGGAATGTCTCACTTAACAGATTTTGCTTATTCTTGAGTTCTATTGTGTGCCAGGCAGTTTTTCTTCGTATACAATTTGAAAAGAGCATTATTTCACCGCTTTCTGAGTATAATGTTTGAAAAGAAAAGGGCTTGTATAAAATCAAGTATTATATTTGTATAAATGCTATCATTTTCTAGGCCATATGCTGATAATCGCAAAAGTGAAGAAATGAATTTGTCATCTGATTCAAATGTAGTTGGTCAAGGACAAGCAGTAGATGGTTCAAATTGGCAATGTATGTTTTTATTGTTTCCTTCTGCCATTTTGAGATGTTTAAATAGTGTTTTAAAGACATATTTACTTTTCAGATATTACGGAATTTTTCCGTGATTGGAACCAATCTGTAAATTTTGACGATCCAAATTGGTTCGACCAGTTTGAAGAACCTTTAAAGAAGTTTAAGAGTGAGTTTTGCACTTCACAAGTACAAAGCTCAACGCAAAATAATGATGATGATGAGCTACACAGCTTTGAAAGAAGTGATGATTCACATCTCACCTCTAAAACTCCACCTCTATCACCACTTTCGGTAGAATTCTTCAGAGTGAGTTTTTTGCTTCATTTCATTTTTGACTGCCATAATTAAAAAGTTTTCTCTAAATTGATTATTATGTCTAAGACTATTCAAATCGCTTTGGAAAGTATTTTGGCTGAAAGGAAAAATTTATTTCTATCATGAAAATTTTATAATCTGTCCAGATTGTGTTATATTTTATTCATGTATATATGTATATTTTTATTTAGACAGATGACGATGGAAAAAGAAAAAGATTACTCTCCGCGAGTGATTTTGATGAAGTAAGTTAATTTGCAGTTGATATCAAATTGCTGCATAGATAGTATGTGTGAAATGTCGATTGATTGTTTTATTTCACTTTTAGAGCGATGGTGAAGGAACAACTAACTCAGAGAGTAGTAATTCATGTGATTGTGAAGTTGAGTTAGCAGCACACTGTTCGAAGAAAAGAAACAACAGTTCCCATATTTGTTGCAGCTCTTCAGACGCTGTGCGTAGTGTAGATGAAGGAAGTGGTTAGTGTTTCATTGTTACATTTTATATTTTTCGAATTTTGCTAACCTATAATATCTCCGTTAATTATGTTATTCTTTTTATAATATTCAGAAGAAAAAGTTTTCATGGTTTACAAGAAGATTGTGCATGTTTTCGTGAAGTTAAAAAGTAGAAACTTTGGTAATGTTAGAAAAATCATTAAATATTGATATTATAACGAACCTGATGAGTCATTTTAGAACCGGAACAAAAATATGAAAAAAAGAAGCCAATACTGCAGTTGAAGCGTGTTGAAAGGAAGAGACGAAAAAAAGACAATAAGCAAAAATTATTTTTTAAGGTGATCACTTTGTTTTCTAGTGTTTTCTTGTACTTTTGTCTTTTTCGGCTTTTACTTTTTGCAACAATGACAATGACTAGAGTGATATAGGTTATCATTTTGTGAGTGATTTAGAATATTTGTCTTCATTTTGTTATCTCGGAGTTTAACACTTTTTTTTAGAGTTGTATTCAAAGATGTCTATATGTTAGTCATGCTTTTTAGGCGTCAACAATAAGGGTATTTTTATCTTATACTTTGTTCAGGAGGCGTGCAAAGGGAAACTTCTGATTAAAATAAGTGAAGATGTGAAGAAACAACTGCGAGAATTTTATCCAGAACAATTTTATGCAAGTGTCCCATTACTATCTTTTGGAGCAGAAGAACGTTTAAAATTGAAGGATAGCGATCTTCAGCTATTGGGATATATGCCGGAAAGGGAGGATTTTGAGTGGGTCAGTTATTGGAATATTTTTTATACTTTTTAGTTTTTTTTCTTTTTTTTTCTATTATCCAAAACAATCATTTCTACTCTATTCCTTACTGGAAATTCACTTCGAGATCATTCATTCTATTTTTTTTTACCTCTCTCTGGTTCACTTTTCTAATATTTTTTCCCTTGTTTTTCTACATAAAACTTGCAATGCATGTTATGCTTTGTAATGTTATAGATTTCAGGAATTTATGAATGACGCAGAAAAATTAATTAGTCGTTTAATATTGCAACCAGAACCTGATACAGATGAAGATAGTGCTTTTGAAAGTGGTAAGTTTTTTATTATTGGTTTTAAACATTTTATCTGGTTCAATATCATTAACCCTGATAATGACCAAACTAATAATTTGATGCATCATTTAATCAAGTATTATGTGGAGTACTTTCAACTTTGTGAGTTTTTAGCATGTAACTATGAGGCATAATAGCACTAGAGTAATTAAATCTTGAAAAAAAGGAAAGCAAAAAAAAAGATGTGAAAGAAAGAAATTTATTCATTTATCTACCAGAAATATTCGACATCATTAACGAGCTGTAAATTTGTAAATTTTTCAGCTGTAAAATTAGCGAAGGTGCAGAAATATAATCGAATCTTGAAACAGAGAAGAGCGAAAAAAGCAGCTGTCAGAGAATATGAACTTGTGAACAAGTTTTTTGACAAAATAAAGGTGATTTTTTTAATAGCTTGTATAATTGTGAAATCAAGGTAGTAGTTTCTATATAGCTCGTAATAATTACGAAATATATTTTTTTTACTTTTTTAGTTACATTTTGTAACAAGCAAGTTAATATCAATGTTAATCAGTAATGAAAGACAAAGTTTGTGTAAAATTATCGAAAAATTATATCGTGATGAAATGCATATGTCACTTGGGCTTAATTTTTGCTATCGTAGCGTCTTTTCCTTTTGTATTAGCAGTTAATTATGAGCCAGTTAATTATGGAGATTGATTGTTAGTTGAGGTAATTTTCAATTTTCAGAAAATAGAAGAAACACGTCGAAGTTTGACACACAATCAACATTATTCAGCTTCGGCACGCCAGCGTGAACTACTTCATTCATTTCTGAAGAAAACTTATCAAGTATTGAGACAACCGGAGCTAAAACAGTTACTTGATGCGATTACAGGTAATGCAAAAATAATTTTTCTATTCGAAAAAAGAGAATTTATCTGGACTTACTGCTTTTTTATAATTTTTGTGTCAGTGTCAAAATGGGTTTTAATTTTTGATTGCAAATGATTGTGCATTTTAATGTGAATCATTTAAAGTGATTTTAGGTTATATCAGCTTAAAGGAAAGAATTTCGAGTCTAGAAAATCACATGGTGGATGGTGTCAAGGATTCGAAAAGTTTATCATAATTTAGCAAGTTTCATTATTATCAAAATTTATGCCACTGATGTAGAGTTAAATTTAATGAGCACTGCATTATTATTTTCATACTAAAACAATCGAACTATATGTTTACTAACCTTTTGATCCTTAGAACGGAGTGAAGTTATTTGTGATGATTGAAGGGGTAAACCATTGTCCGCTTCATTTAAATGGTATGTCGCGGAAATGAATATATTTTTTAGGTAAGGGGAAATAGCCTCGATAGTCAATCAGTAGGCGTGAAACTTATGCATCCGGTAGGATTTCGTGTTGTTCACTTCTCATTGCCATAATAACTAGGTTGCAAATCTTAATAATGTTGTCTTTCTATCTCTTATATAGTTGTCTTTGCTAGAAATGTTTCAGATGCTGGCTATTCAACAAGAATTAGTTGAATTTGATATATAAAATGTAGAATGCAGAGATGAATTATATTGCAGTTTATAAACAAGAAAGATATTTTAAAATGCTAGGAGAAATACTTCAAAAATATTTGGTTCTAGAGATTTATTGTCATCCGAAATATACCGTATAGGTCCGGTTTTGTAAAATAATATTTTTGAATTGCTAATTTGAGCTTAGCGCACGCAATTGATAGCATTTTTGAACTTTTGGAAATTTTATCCATTATGAACTGAATTTTATGATTGCATGTATTCTATATTGTGAGTTTCCGGTAATTATTCTGTGGTGTGTAATACCGAGTGTATTTCATTTCTTAAAATTCTGGTGTTTTTTTTTTTTTGCTGTGAAGATTGTTTTTTTTTCTCTTTCCATGTGTTTAATCATTATATTTCGGTACCGAAATAAATTTTTCATAAAAATGCAATCCGCTGATATTAAAATTGATAAGATTAAATAAACATCTACAGCGATTCTTTTGAAATACATAATAGCATCTGTAATCACTTGCTAAATGTAATAAAGTGTCATATTTTTCGAGATGATTCATATAATTTCTATACTTATTGATCAAATTTCATCTTCGTCTAATTGCTGGCATAAATTTGGAATATAATATGAGAATCTGATAATTGATTGTTATTTGCAAGAACAATCCAGAAATTCGCAGTAATTAGTTTGTAAGCTTTCGGATTTTTTGTAAGCTCTCGAATATTTAAAATTGGCAAGTACAACTGGAAAATATAATACAAACTACAGTTTTTTTTTTATTTTTCAAATACCAGGCATTTTAACAAATAATTTAAATATAGTAGCAAAGGAAAAAATCGTTCTGAACGATTAAGTTTACTCTTTATAAAGTATTAGAAGATAATAATAATATTACTATCGAAAAAAAAAAGTATTTGAAAAAAATTTGTAGTTTGTATTGTATTTTCCAGTTGTACTTGCCAATTTTAAATATCTTAACTCTGTTGTTATTTTATTATACATTTATTATTTATATTTTCTTTCTATTTTTCTCACATTTTACTTTTTTCTTTATTGTTGTTGTTGTTGTTTTTTTCATTTTTTCAAAACAAACGATGAAAAATTACACTGCTGAGCAATGTTTTCTTTTCGAACAAAAAAAAAAAAAAAAATTAAACGAAGAAAAATGTCAATTAGTTAGGAGAGAAAATTCTTCTTTCCATCAGTTTCCTTTTCAAATTTCTTTTTAGCTCTCAATTGCTCAGACATCTATGAATCGTTGACAATATCTTAAAATATGAGACATTTTCAATGTAAATGTTTTCAAAATGTTTTTTGTTTCATAATTTTAAAACAGAAAAAAAAGAATTCATTTCGAGAAAAAAAATGAAAGAATTTTTTTCTGCTATTTACATAAAATCCCCTATTTAAATATTATGAAAGAGAATAGACAGTATTAAATGTAAAATAAGTAAAATCTAGAAAAAATAAAATAAAAAAACAATTTAATACAAGTTTATTCATTAATGAGAAAAAAAAATCTTCCTGATGCTATTGTCGAAATATATAGGAAAAGATTTGATTCAATTGGGATGAAATGATTCATGAAAAGTGTATTATCACTTTTCACTGTATTATCACTCTACTATTACTTAATTAATGATGCTGAAAAAGAAAGATAACATATCTATCAATAATTTATTGTCTTCTTTCATGATTATCTGGAATAAATTTCTTACCGGACTTATTAATTTTTTTTGAGCAATAATCATTCATTATTATCCTTATTTTAGATTTACCGTCATCACCTGTTCTGGAAAGCTTTTCTTTTCATATTTGCATGAATGAATTGCTATCAATGTCACCCATAGCTAGAATTGGTGACAAATTTGAAATGATTTGCTCATTATTTGGCATATATGTAATACATATGATAAGAAACTGCTACTATCTATCGAAATCTTTAAAAATTTTTCATTTAAAAAAAAAGCATAAAATTCATTCGTTTCAACGAGGATAACATAACAATAATGTTGGATAAATAATGAGGATAACTAGTAATGTTGGATAAATGCATAAATATTAATGGATTAAGCGTTGATTGATTGGCTAATAATGTTTTAGTGATATTGAATAATTTAGAATTCATATAATACGTTTCGTAAAGTTTTTAATTATTTAACTTTTTTTTAAATTATTTCACTACGATGTAATGAAACGGAAATGAAAGTTTGTTTTTGACGAATTGTTTCCTGATTGATTGAATTTCATTTGAATTGCTCAAGATAGACCGTAAATATGAAGGAATTTTCGGTTTTCGATACTATTTAATTTTTCAATGTTTAACTTAAAGTTCAATTCAAATCCGCCGCAGAATATTGAAAGTTCGGAGTTGCGAAACATTGAAAGTAATACAGTATGGTTGAAATTTTTGTAAATGAATAGTTTTAGGCATGAGTGCAATATTTCATTACCGAAATAACATCTAAGGAAAAAAAAAAACTCAAAATTCTTGCAGACATCCTCGTAGATCGTATTTAAAATTTAAAAAAAAAAAAAATATTTTTCTAAATCCTACTTTCTATTTGCTTCGTTGTCTTGCAAAAAGTTGTAAAATTGTCTGCTATAAAAACCAGAATAGAAAATTATTTACAAATTTTTGATAACATTATTATCGGATTTACTTGCAGCTCTTGATATGAAATATGATTGCGAATTTTAATTCCAATGAAGTAAAAGATTTCGTGCATTCTAATCGGATTTAATTCAAGTCAGATTCCATTTCAAGTCACATTTCAATTTATTTAATCATTCATTTCATGCATAAAATCTTCGATCAAAATAAATCACTACAGCAATCATTGCCGAACAATGAACGATAATAAACAAGTCAATTTCAACTTTTCTTCTTGAAATTTTTCAATTTATATTTCAAAAGAATTGGATAATCTAAATTCTGAAATCTAAACCACTGGTTTTTTTTTTAAAATGTTTACCGCATTTAATTTATTGCATTCCAATTTCATATCATCTAAGTTTCAATTAATAAATCTAATTTCACTTTGATCATAAAGAGCTTGTTATAGACTATTCCGATTATTTATTAAATAATAACTATCGTATTGCTTCTTAAAAAAAAAAAAAAAGATTTCAAAATTTCATCGATTTTTTCAATTTGCTTAAATTATCAAGTTGGTTACTTTCACTTTTTGGGTTCTTTTTAATTTTTAGTATCGACCATTCCAGAAATCATCTTCACAAATATCTCTGAAAAGTGATTTCCTCTCATCTTTGTAGTGGAAACAAAATGTTCATTGATTATTGTGCTATGTTCATCAATCAAATTTAAATTTAATTATCTGTCAAGAGTAATGTTTAAGCATTAAAAAAAAACGATTAAGCAGTGGATAAGCAATAAATTAAACTGTAAATTTATAAAATAAAAATCCGGAAATTTTGAATACTTGTGAAAATGCCAAATATTTTTGCACAAAGAAAATCATTTTTTCATCTCTTTTAGGATCATTAATTTTTTCAATACAATGTTTGAAATTTTATGACGCATGATTGGTAATTTTTATTTCCTTTTTATTCTCTCATTTATATGTTCAATTCAAAACGACCACATTTAATCGTATCGTCAACAATACCTCTTCAAATGCTCAACAAAATTAAACAATATTATATGAAATAATAGCATTGTCTTCCCACTACTGTCAATGAACCTTCAAATTCTAATTTTTGTTTCCCAATTATTAATAATTAAATTAACAAGTCTTAATCAGATTAATATTCGTTAATTGTTTTTTGCATCAATCAATTTCTCCTGGCTTACCTAAATTATCAAAGGAATTGCACTACCTATATAGATTTAATTATTTCCATTATTTCTTAAAAGTTAAATTGCATGCACTGATATAAAGAGTAAAAAACTTCAATCACAGTTCAATGAAATCTATCGCCTACCGGAATTGATACACGAAAGAAATAATCTCAGTATCAGTTCCCGTAGATTCCAGAGATGCAGTAATACTCTTTACATTTTTTGATTAATTATCAATAAGTCTTACTCTGTCATACCTTATCATTTCTGGATAACTACACAAAAAGTTAGATCATATTAATAAACTTTGCAATGTAATTACATCCAAGTATTATTCTGATAATTAAAAGTGATGCACTGTTATTGAAATTCAACATTCATCAAGTTTACCGAATGAACTAACTGCAACACTATATTTCAATCCATACTTAACCACATTTTACATGTATGCCCCGAGAGATTCTGAAACATTACATGGGTTTAGGTGAATTTATTGATTTTTTTTTTCAATATATCCCAATAAAACATCAGCGATAAACATGATATGAACATATGGAGGTGAAGTGAAGACCATCGAATTTCGAAGTAAAAATTCATTCGCTGAACACTACCGTAATCATACAGGAAGACCATTTGAACAGTAATTATTACCAAATCTGATATTATACTTCCCGTTTTTGAATAGTATTACCATTAATCCTGATATTATACGAATTGTAAAAGACACAAAATATCTTATACATATATATATATATATATAATTCATTCATCAATTGTAAAAAAGAAAAAGGT